CTTTTAATCAAAATTAAAAAAATTTCATAAGCTTTTAATCAAAATTAAAAAAATAAATACATTTTTTTACGATTATTACTTATTTATTAAGTGATAAATTAAACGGATTACAATAATTGTACACATATCACAAAAAAATAAAAAATAAAATTGTATTTTCATCGCTAAAAAATGAAAACATAGTTGGTCGACTCATAATGGTCAACACCCTTTATTTTATTCGTGTCTAACATAGATAGCTGACTATTTGGTATATCCTCGTAATGAAACACGCCCAAATTGTGACCTTCCATATTTATGGTACTTACGTATACCTAAATTTATTTTATTTTTATATGCAATTATATTTGGTATTATTTTAACCCATGAATAAGACCATTCTATACATTTCCAATCATATTAATTTTAGATAAGATTTGACCAAATTTCCTACATTTTTTATGTTTAAATTTGTTTTCTATTGAAAATACAATAATTTTTTAACAAAGAAATGTGTCTATAATTATTTACTTTAAAAAAGTAGTACAAAACTCAAAAGGCAAGAAATAATAACTTATTTATTTTCCTTTTACTTGTAGAAAACATAAATTGTAAGATAATGAATAGCAATTAATTAAGTAATTAATTATTATTTGATTACATTAAATTTATTTCAGATAAATTGACAGAATTAAATACTACTAATTAGATTATATTTTGAAGTTTGGAGTAACTCGCTAACTTTTAATATACCTTAATTAGTTTGTTCATACTAATTGATTATTAAAGTAGATACATTTTTTATTAACTATTACTATAAACAGTACACTTAGGGAACTAATTTTATTAAAACATGCTTGGGTAGGTATAGGTCGTAGATACTAAATTAATATTTGATTACTCAGAAAATAATTACTAAATAATTTGAATTGAATATGAATTATAACTAAAAACTGTATTTTTCTAGAATCCACTAAGCTTCACTAAATCAATTGATACATCGAAAACAGAACACATTTAAATTCCCATATAGCACGTATCTTAGATAAAGATAGAAATCTCTGATTCTAATCCTCTTAGATTTACCGTAATTCTGCAATTTTGTATTTTCGTATCTTGCCAGTACAGTTATTTCCGTCCTTACCTTTCCTTCAAAACATTCTTACTGATCCAAAAAGCTTTTTCTAATAATACCGGCAAAAATAAATCAATGTAAAGTGTATCTATATGCTTCAAATATAAAAACAAATCAAAACCTACCTACGACAATGTTAACTTCTCACGTAGTCAAGTAATCAATTTATTTAAACACGTGGGTATACTCGTAATTCTATCACTTACTTACAAATTCAATTTAAAATTTATTTTAATCGTATTCAAATAGTATAATAATTTTTAATAATCATTCAAATAATTTTGAGTTTTATTCGTTTTTAAAACTTAAAACTTTCACAAAAAAATGTATATAAGTCAGTTTACAAACAACATAAATGTCGTATTATTATTTATTATAGTTACATTTTAAATATTTTAAACAACATATAATAATTTTCTCGTAGAAGATAGATTTTAGAAAAAAAAACAAAATATTAATCAACTACGCAAAGAAAAGAATATTATGTAAACCCAGTCATCTTTACATAAATTTCTTGTACAATGAAGTCAACAACAAATCTTGTTTAAAATGAAAATAAAAATCAATTTAAAACTGTTTATAATATTTTTAATTTTTTTAATAAATTCTATATACATTCTTCCTTAATATTTAATTGGTAAAAAAATTTTAATTTATTTATTTTAAACAAATTTAGCTTAATAATAATAAGATTTATCTACAATTATATTTAGAGATAATAGAACGACGATAACTCTTTGTGTTTAAGTAGCAATAATGTATTTTTTTATGATTGTACAACACTTTTCTGAATATAATAAGTGAAAAAAAAAATTCATATGGGTCGTGGCGTTTATGTGCTAGAAATTGAGCAGTAGTGAAAATATAAAATATTAATAATAATTACTATAATTTCCAAGTTCTTATAAAAAAAACTTAGATAATTAATCTTTAAAATATTAAAATTATAAATGTGTTATTTTAATTTTAATAAATTTTATAGAGACAATGTATGATAAATGTTACTGTTGTTAAATTCGAACTACTTAAATTATTTATGGAAATATTGACAATTGAAGTCCATTTATTTATAATCACGATAATAACTGTAAGAATAAAATTAATAATCTAAAATAATCATTTAATTTTACGCCTTTTGGTTTTTTTAATTTTTTTTTTTTTTATGCAAGAATAAAGTACCTATAATTATTGTTTCAAATATAAGTAATTCAAATAATATATAAGTATTGTAGGTATCAAGATTAGTGAAATAAGACATTTATTTGACAATATCAATACAGTTATTGGTGTTTGATCCCTTTTTATCTTTTAATTTAACTATTTAAAAACAAGGTAAATTTTTTTTTTAGTTGTTTTAATATTATTATACATACCTATTGATAATGCAAAATTAATTTTATTCTTAATTTTATCTTTTATCAATATACTATTTTATACTTGTTTATTGCAGGTAATATAATCAAAATGTTTAACTTCGATATATTCATATAAAGTAAAAAGTTCCTATTTAATTAATATGACGTCGTTGATATTCAAAATATTATTCAATTAATGTTTACATGATTTTAACTGTTCGTATCTATTACGCAGTCATAACCATACAACGTTTATTTCCCTTAGGTAATTTCTATTCTGGTAGTGTATTATTATTTATTAATATATCAATGTCAGATTTTAACCGAACATGGTAAACTGTTTGCTAAAGAGTAAACTTAAGTTTGTATTTGAATTATTTGAAATGTAAACTATAATCAACACATCATACGTGTATGATTCTTGTTAATCTATACTAAGCTGAGAATTGAGAAATAATTTATATTTTAATTAACTCTACCAATAACCTGATAATATTTGATTACATGCGTGTAATAAGAAAATTAATACAGTACTCAAAAAAATTACTACGTCAACGTCATCAATAATTATTTAAAAATCAAATGGTGTAAGTACTAGGCACAATAAAGTAATACCTAATATGTGAAATTAAAAAAAAATAAATAATAATTAAATCACACATTTAACTATGAAGGAATAAAATCTAAAATACATTTACGTATTATATTATAGTAAAAATAATCAGAATATTAACAGTGTGGGTACATATATATATATTTAATCTTGTGTATATATAAGTACTGAGCCCCACTAAGAGAAATTGTGTAATTTATGAAGAAATAAATATATTTATTAAAACATTTATAATTTATTTTGTGACTCCCTTATTTAATTCTACAAATATTCAATTCATAAGTAAATTTAACGTAATTTTTAATCTGATATCGTGTATATATATATATGTATACATATATTTAACACAAAATAACTATGAATAATATAAAAAAATCATTTTAATGGATAAAAATATAAAATATGTACTAAGCTACTAGTAACGATACGCAGTACAAACTCTTGAGAGATCGAATTGTATACACTTTATTCAAAAATAATAAGCTATTATCAAATGATTATCTTATAAAACTTTGAAACACATTTATTAAAAAAACTCAAAATTCCGAGGTATAATGTAATTAAATCCATCAAAGTATTTATTTATTTTATTTTTAAAATAATTTTCATTTTCTTTGAATAAATAGTTGAATAAAAAATAAAATTACAATATAAAAAGGTATTTTAGACATAAAAATCAAAAAATCATCAAAGGATTTTACTTATACAGTCTGTAATCGAAAATAATTATAAAAGAATATAAATACCTATTTAATTTAACGTTATATACAATATATACATATATGTCTGTGTGTGTGTATGCTATAGGTATGTATTACATAATGTATATCACTATGAACATAAACATAATATTATACATGAAAGATTAAATTATGCATAAATTGAAAAATAAAAACCAATTATTTTATACAACCTTTTTTTACATACATATTATGTAAGTAAAATTATTTTGACTAAAAAAAAAATATTTTTTTTTAATTAAAAATTATTTTAAAAAATATACAAGATACCTACTTAATATTTAACTTAAGTCTTAAAAGTAGATAATTCTTAAACGTTTTAAACTTTAAGCGTAATACAATATTTTTCTAAGAACTTACTTTTTCCATGAACTTTTATCAAAATATTTTATCCTATAATAATATTATATAGCTGAACATTGCTATGCTTATAATATAATAATTAAGATATTGAAATTATAATTAATTTTAAGTGTAATTATTTCATAATTTATAATTATTAATACAAAATCCATTATATAAATATAACTTTGAAGTAATTTTTGATTATGGCTATAAAATACTAATATTTTAAAGTTAATTGAGTTAAATTTGTTCAAAATATATAGGATACATTTACATAATTAGCAGTGGCAAACCCAGGGGGGTGGACCCCGGGTCCGGAACTTCCTTAGCTTATATCGCAGTATTTATTTTTATTTTTTAAAGTTACACTGAAATTTTCATTAAATTTCATTGATTAGATTGATTATTAGATTTGGTATTTTGTTAATAACACGTCGAATTCGATGTATAGATATACATAATTTAACTGACATAATAATAATAATAATAATAGTAATTAATTAATATACATTATAAATATAAAATTAAAAATGTAATATATATGTATGTTTTAAATAATATAATTTTGTTTATTAAGCAATAAAATATATGTGTTACTTAAGAAAAAGAATAAAAAAACAGTAGATAAATAAATGTTTAGGATCCCCCTCCCTTGAATAAATCCTGGTTGCGCCACTGATAGATAGTTATTATTTATATTGGTCATACAGGTATACTGTAGTTAAAATACTAAATCATTTAAGAAAGAAAATTGAAACTAATAATTAATAATTCATTTATACTAAACACACTCTAAATTCAAAACATAAAAAATTATATATTTATTTGTACAGGTATGGTGACATGGTACCAGAAACAATAGCCGGAAAAATTGTTGGTGGCGTATGTTCACTAAGTGGAGTGCTTGTTATTGCACTGCCTGTACCAGTAATCGTGTCTAATTTCAGTCGCATCTACCATCAAAATCAGCGAGCAGATAAAAGAAAAGCTCAAAGAGTAAGTTTTATTTTTTTTCACAAATTAAATTTTAAATAAATATAAAATTGAATCATTGTTATTCATTGACTGTTATGAGTTATAATTTTATAAATAATTCATGATGAAATACAAAATTATATTGAAAAACCTTTTCAAAAGTTTTTAAAAAATTAAATGCATCCAAATGAAATAAAACTTTTAAGTGGATGTTACCTAAAATGTTGGTTTTGAGTTAAAAAGACTTAAAAGTTATATACACTTTTAAATTCTTTAAAATTGAAATGTTTTTTTTTTAAACAAAACAACACAATTACGGAGTTAACGATAAAAAGTAAAAATGATATTCTTTATACGCGATTGTATAATAAGAGAACAATATTAAAGCAATTCATAGGACATATGGTGGCATATGTTTTTTATACAATATTGAATTCTAATCAGGAACATATTTAGATGAGGGAAGAATTAAAATCAACTCCAAACGGCAATCTTTTTAGAGATTTAAGGATGGAAAAATCACTGTCCACAGCCTTCAATCATCGTCCATCATCATTTAAAAGACACATTAACATTTGTATCATGTTACAATTATATTTAAAAATCAAGATTTATTAGTATAATCACAAATAATACTTAATTATTTCATATAATTTAGGATTTATTATGTTTAATAATGCACCAGACTGCTACTGTATTGCTAGAAAATCAAATAATTAATTTAAATTTATGAACATAATTCATTTTTACTCGGTTATTTTATATTTTGCATTGTTTGATAGTAATCAAATATATAATATAGCAGTACTGGTTGTTTCGTAAGCGATTTTCAATACTTGATCTAAACGATATTTATGTTTTTTTTTTTTTTTGTGACCTATAGTGCCAACAAATTTACTGCCAACCAGTCACTATAGCAATTTATTACGTAAATAAAAGATAAGTTTAATTCATAGATAATAATATTGACCAGCAACTCGCATAACGACGGTTTAAAATTTAACGCTTAATTGAACACCTCACTAGTAATCTTAAGTTGATTTGACACAAATTTATAATTGAAAACTACGTGAAATACCACAAAATTACATTTTGAGATGATAAATAATTAACAAAAATAAAAACTTAATTTTATCAATTACTTAAATTTATACATGTATAGTGTGTACATTGATGATAATAATGGCATTTTGTTAAAGTCTCGGTATTTTTATTGAATTTAAATCAGCTATTGCGTAATGTATTTTTAAATACAAGAATAAATATTTTAAATATTCAACAGAGCGATGAGTGTTTTGATTTTACAATGATATTGTTATTTTTTCTTTTTGTGTCTAATATCACCTTTAGTAGTGAAAATACTTGGATTTTCAATTTCAATTACTTTTATTTTCAAATAAATGGCAAGTCAATAAATCTAAATAGTGTAGCTTCTAAAAAATTTACCATAGGAGATAATTTAAAAAATTTACATGTTATTTTAAAAAGTTCTTAAATTATAAAATTACTTTAAAAGTAATAATAATAAACCTAAAAATTTGATATGTATCTACAAAATGTAAAATGAAAGTTCTTGTAAACTATTTTTCAACAAATTTTTATCCAAATAATTATCGGCAATCCCTTTTATTAAGGGATAGCCGAGATAATAAGGACAACATCTAATGAGCTTTTCCATGTGGCATCTAAACTTTAAATACATCTCTGATTCTAAGATATCTTAAATGTTTTAAAATATTTTTTAAAAATTTAAACAAACTTAAATCAAACTATTTATTATTATGAATAGTAAGTATACACATTTACTTTTTTTAATCAAGTTATAAGAATAGTTAAAAATAAATTCAAAAAGTATAGTACAAACTACAAGCATTACCTTTTGTTATTATATTTATATATATATATATTATAACAGATCTATGTTGTCATATTAAACATTTGAAAATTATTATTAAAATAAATAAGTAAGTGAGTACCTACAGATGTTTTTTATATTAAAAATTATTACATTTTCGGGGAAAACAAATTTATTTGCAAATATTTTGTTTATTTAAATCTAAAAAAATGATTGTATGTAAATCCTTATTAAATTTGAATATAAGGTAACATTATTGTTACGAAAAATAAGACTATTTCTTAATAATAAAAAATAATTTAATGGAAATTTCTATACAGTGTAAATATATACTTTCAATCGAATTATATAACGGTATGACGCTTACAATTTTTGAACATATTTTTACTCACCCTGAAACTGTTAAATAAAAAATTAAATAAAACCTAAAACCAATAGCTATTTTTTACCCCCATTCAGAATTTAAAAATAGCCTTTGTATAAAAATGTTATGGTTTTAGTTTTCATTTTAAAACTTTTATTTACTTATGATTTAGTTCATCTAGAAAAAAAAACAATAACTGAGGAGAATATAAACACGGTTATAAAGTGTATACCCTCATAAATATTCGTTACTTATCCTCTAATTTTTAATAATTAATAATTAATTTAACGAAATCACATTCAAGTACAAAATAAATAAAGTACATAATATAACATACATATAATTAAACACTAAAGACATTAGGTATATACAGTAAGTAATATATTATTAGACCAAGAATTATATACTTTTAATTATATATTAATTTTATAATTTACAATAATATATAGCTACAAAATTATAGTTAAAAACGAATTACTGTTAATGCTATAAGTAATTAGTGCTCTTAATATTTTTAGAATTTATTAATTTGTTAATTTTATTTAAATTAAATAAGCCTCTCAAAGGTATACCTAATATAATACAGTAATGTAAAAGACTTATGTATAGGCTCTTAAAAAAAAAATTATTTATCTGTATTTGTTTCGTGACACTAATCACATTAATTTGATGTTTTACAGAAAGCACGGCTAGCTAGGATAAGGATAGCAAAGGCTTCTTCAGGTGCCGCATTTGTAAGCAAAAAAAAAGCGGCTGAAGCCAGGATGGCGGCTCAAGAATCCGGGCTAGAACTTGATGAAAATTACAGAGAAGAAGACATATTTGAACTGCAGCATCATCATTTACTTCGATGTTTGGAAAAAACGACTGTAAGTAAATTGAATAGTGTTTATTTTTTCCTTTACTCCTCATCTCCACTCATTCATTCTTTTTACATTTTTTCTGTACACAGATGAGTTTGTTTGTCTTATACAAAATGCCATAAAAAAAATATATTTTAGGTCAATTTATTGGTCAACACATTTTAATTACCTTTCTTAATATATAGGACTAATAGCAAGAGATCCTTAAAAAAAAACTTTAAGAAATTCATATTACATAATTTCTAAAATAAAATCTTGATTATAACTTCTAATTATTTGTTTTCACATTCTCAATTTTCTTAAATCTTGATATTAAAATATAAATACCTACTTAGTTTATGATATTTATGTTACGAGTATATTAGTGTAAATTAATGATTTAACCAAAACTATTGTTAAAAAAATATTTTTAATAATGACATCCGTAATTATTATTATTTCATACAAAAATTCCAATTTTTTATCAAATATAAATGACAAATATATTATGTAAAATTACTTCAATTATAAAAATTATGCTATTTAGATATTTTACAATTATAACCACATTGTTATTTTTATTAAAAAAACAAAAGCCAAAAAAATTATTCCATTTAGTGATTATCATTTATTAATAAAACAGTATAATTTTTCAAGTTTAATTTATTCAAAAATGTATTCATCTTTACTTTTGACTTCTATGTTGTATAAATGCATTAAATTACCAGTTTTCGTGTTAAAATAATGAAAAGTTAACAAGAATAATTTCCGAACGAAAATTATTCTCACAACTTATAAGGACTAAAGAAAAATAAGTAAATTAAAAGATAATTACATTTCCCTTTATTGCACATTGTTCTTAGTTCTATAGATCGTATAGATTGTCATTAAGTATAAAGCCACAACTATACTGTGTTCATAGTTGTCTTTGATAAAGTACAATATAGAACAACAAAGGATTTCATCAACAAAGTTTATTTTGAAACTTTAATATTACCTACTATGATTTAAAACAAAGAAAACATGCATAGAGTTAAATAATGTTTTAATATATCAATTCTTAATTGCTAAAGATGTTAATAAACATACATAAGAAATTATATCTGAATAAAAATGTATAAGATATCTAAAAATCAAAAGTTCTTGAATTACCTTACGTTTTGATGTTTCATTTTATAATTTTCATAAAAATATAATATGTATGTGAAAACATTCTACACGTTATTCTTTAATATTATAATATCTAAATCTATTATGTTTTCATATTTTTTTATTTCCATACCCAATACTTAAGTTCTTTTTTTAACTAATGTACTAAATAACTAGAGATTTTTTTAAAAACTAACCCATCGTTTTGAATTTTAATACTCTAGATAATTAATTATCATATGTAAAAACATATTAAGTATTAATATTATTCGATTGAAATTAACTAGGAATTACTACATCCTAAAATAATAGTATTATTATGGTAGATTTATTAAGGATTATAGTAGGTAGATAATAATATCATTCAGGACTTAGTATTCATGAATACTGTACTATAGAAACATAACTAAATTAATTATAATTAAAGCGCATAAACGTACATGCCATTAATGATATATTGATATAATATATGACATTAATCTATAATAATCTATAATTTACAAAAATTTATCATTTTATCAATACGTTTTAAGCAGTCTGCAGTAATAATAAACAATGTCATTAATAGTTTGGCATGTATATCTGTTATATGACACTCTTATCCCTTCGATATAAATTTTAATCATTAGAGTTCAAATTACCAATGACGATTCATTTCATAATTTAAGATGCTCATTCTACTGTGCAAATTATATGATTTCCCCAAAGATATTTTTAAAACAAAAATATATTTTTACGATACATATCATAATATTTTGTATACTATCCAAAATAAATAACAAAATATCATAACACATTTTTCATATAAGTACATTTAATTTTTGTTAAAGTACAATTTTCCTAATTCATAACGGTAGTATTAGTACCTACATAACTCATCTACAACATTAAAAATATACAAGGCCATAAACGGTATATTTTTACTATTTAGTCTGACAATAATTTTATAAAATGCAAAAGTAAAATCTATTTTTATTATACTTTTTATTTGATTATATATTTATATATATGTTTATTGAACCATGTTCCAGCTATTTTATGGCTATGTTTATTTAGGATCCTAAAATTTAGGTATGTGTGGGTTATACAGCATGCAATGGAATAACAACCGTTATTAATGATTAACATCATCACCATGAATATCAGTTTGTTTTTCTTGAATTAAGTACCTATACCTATAGTTTTAACATCTGTTATACCTACCATAAATAATAATATTTATCCAAGGTATTTTACAAAAATATAAACTATAAATTATTTATACTTTGTTATACTTCAACCGTGTACTATGAAATCTAAATAAATAATATAATTAAACAAACCTATTTAAAAATAACAATAATACGTTTAAAAAAAGAAAATGAAGAATAACGGCATACCGAAAATGATACAGATGCCGTGTATTATTGGCACTTGTTATCACTCGTACTTATAGGTTGTAGATATATTATAAGTAAAAAAACGTGTAAAATTCTATATTCTAAATTATAATTTTAATACCAAGTCTTAATAAAAGAAAAAAAATTAAGAGAAGCTTGTTTACTACACTGCTTAAATTTAAAAATATTTCAATTAGTATATGATTATTTCGCAATAAAGCTTAAAGCTACAAGTTTAATAGAAAAAAATAATTAATATCATTTTTTAAAATTGTTTTTATTTAACAATTTTATTATATTATTGCTTATTTGTTTTTTTTAATTCTTTAATTATAATGGTTAAAATACTATTTCAACATTTAAATAATTCAAATTAAAGTGATTGTAAATTATATGTTTTGCAATCTAAAAAAATAGTTGCTAAAAAAGTTGTCTCCGATTTCTCAATATTTTCTTTCATTTAATTTAACATAAATTTTATATCATATTTTTATAATACAAATACAAAAACTAAAAATTATGTATATTAATATAATAGACCTCAATTCCTTTATTTTTTATATTAAATTCATAATAAGAAATATTGTAGTCTTACGAACATTTCCTTACTATTTTTTATAACTACTGAGATTTCACAATACTTTTTTGTAAGTACCTAACCATCTGTTTACAATTGTCGATTTAAAATTTACAGAGTCTACATGAAATTTTAAACAACGTTTACTGCTTTAAATATACAAAAAAAAACCACGTCTTCCTCAATACATATTCCCATCTAAGTCTTAACTCTAAATATTATATTAAATTTATTTATTAATACTCGACAGTTTTTATTGTTATTTTTTTTTTAAAAATACAAACTTTAAAAAAAAAATTATGTCGATAGAAGATACATATTAAAAAAACACTTTTTAGCTTAAATCTATCATAAATAAATAATATATTATAGACTTATAGCTATGCCTTGTGGTAATGGTTTATACCACCTATTTTTTTATGAATATTGAGAATAGTACTACGATTTTTAACCTTAATATTAGTAACGCTGATGCATTTAACTATACTATCGCCTTTTAAATCTAAAATAAAATTAGGTACAATTAAAAGAAAAAAATTAAGAAAGTATATCCACAAAAAATTGACACTTATAACATCATAAGTCATAACTTTACTATCTTTATAAGCTGACTTCTTGCTACATGGAAAAACAAAAATAACAGTTGTTTACTTAACCAAAAAAATTATCAAAAAAAGAATAATTCGTATTTATTGATCAGTTAATAAAAACATTTTAGTCATAAAAAAATGTTTATGCTTTTAATGTTATAAGTTATTATAATTAATTATTCTAATTACTTATTTTAAGTTTATAATCCTGCCATAGATACGCAACATTTTACTTCAAAGCCAAATACTATGTAAGTAATCCAGATATTCTTATATTTATATTAAAAAGAACATAATATTTATTTAAAAAAAACTTGTTTTCCCCATGATAGCATAAATACTTTTTTTTTACTTACTATTATCAACTTTATTTAATTTTGCTATCTAATTTAATAATTTATCATCTGTGTTTTTCTGTTTTCCAATGTTTGTAAAATAACCTAACAACTTTCAGTTTATGATCTTCAAAATATATATATCAGCAAAACTTTACAGTATACTGTATGTATAATATATATTATATATAGACTCGTAAGTAACATATTTTTATATAAAACAAAAATTTAAATAGAACACTCATTGGGTCAATTATATTTTTTTAATAATTGCATGTTATTGAGAATTTACATTTTAAATGTTTTTTATTCATGTTTTACATTCCGTTTTTTTTAAATGTCAATGTTTTAACAGCAGTTTTTTCACAGTTCGTGTAATATCTATCAAATTAATTCCATAAACTGAGCAAATATTTAATTTTTCATAATTTTAGCAAATATAAAATTATAAATCTTTTATTAATAAATTTTAACTCAGACACCTAATATCTTGATGAAGATAAAAATAAAAGTATTTAGATTAATAATTAAAAAGCTTAAAAATTGATTAAGTGCACTCAACACATACTGAGGAACAAGTTATCGATAACAAAAGTAACGTCTTTTATAGTTTTATAAAAAAACAAAAAGGCTGTATTGTGTGATCTTAACTCAGTTTGTCGTGTTATTGTTGTTAAATATGCAACGTAATCAAAATAATAAAATTTTTCACTTAATACTTTTTACTTTATTGTTTAATTTACACTTGCTGTCATTAAATTATGTTAAGTTTCTAGTTTCTGATTATGTAGAAATCAAACGATTTTAGTTATATAAGTATTAACAATTTAACAAATATAAATTCATTAGTTTTAAATCTAAGAAGTTTAGATACCAACTTTTACCTTGTTTAATACACTTTAAACCTCTTACATTCGTGCAATGGCATTTTAAAATTATATACTTTATGTTTTTAAATGTTTTTTACTAAAACAAACATTCTGCTTTTTTTTTTGTTTATAAAAAACCTACATATTTATATTGTATATAATTCTCATATGTTAGGTAAGGTGATAATAGAGCTTTAATTTTGACTCGAACACCTTTTTTTTTACAATCATTATAACATCAAATAACACTGAAAATTATTTTTTTATATTTATATATGTATATATATATATTAATAACAACTACCTACTATAAAAATATTTATGTTAAAATATAAAAACGTATATATATACAGAGCCTATCTCATGAAACGTATAGTTTTTATACAAGAATAAATCGAAAAGAACTTTTAGTTTAGTTTTTTTTTTTTTTTTTTTTTTACCATAATGAAGAGCTTATCACATGACAAATTTAAAAAAAAAGGTAAGCAAATTTTCACCACTCTGCTGTACTTAAAATTAAGAGTGGATAACAGCTGTTATGAGTATATTAAATTTCAATTCAATGATATATCATTGTATACTAAAAACGATTATTTAACTTAAAATGTCATAATATATTTTTATAAACACCATAAAAAAGTAAAAATAGGTTTACCTATACTATAATATAAATATATACTATCTTAAATAAATTAAAAATGACATTTCGTGTGGAAAAATTCATAATAATATTAAGTACGTAAAATTTTAAGTCGTCACGAATATTTTTTATTCATTCATATAACAAAATAATTAAAATCGTTATTCATTGTTGAAATACATAATTTTGTTCACATTTAAACTTCAACAAATATCTATAAAAAATAATGGTGTTGTATATTTTTCAGATTTTAGTTCCAGAATGAAATACTTATGAGAAACTTTGTATTAAATAATCAAGAATTTTAAACTAGCAAACAATTTTATATCTAAAATTTAAAAATATCGAAAATTTCTCATGCCAACAAGTAGTTCAAAAAGAATCAATACCACGTATAAAAATAAAATTACAAGTATCTACGGTTATTCGTTTTTAAATTAAAACAAAAATCGTTTGAGAAGAATTAATTATTATCCGGGATAATATACATTGTCAAAGAAATTTCAATTTCAAACAATCATACTTTCCGAAAGAAAATTAATTTTTAATAAAGCTTGAAAAACGTATAAAATAATCTTTTATAAACAATTAATCTATCATCAACAAAAAACAACCGAACAAAATAACACAATGTTAAAATTAATATGAAACTATAATCTCATCATGATAAGATTCTTAAGTGGCTAGTTACTTTTAAATAACTGTATGTATACATTTATCTAGATATAAATAAAAATGAATCAATTTTACATTTATCTATACAGAATAAACAATCTTTTTTGTATTTAAATAACTAGATGTAATATGGTATATAAAATTGATTATTTACTATATTTAAATATTACGAGTATAATAACACAATTAGTATTTCAAAATAAATATAAACAATTTAGAAAAAATGTAAGTTAGACATTTTGAACTTTTACAATTATATATTTTTGAGATTATTTGAATAAAGCTAAAGTGACGTAGGTATTTGTAACTATATATATTATTCCATACTATTCTAATAATATTGAAAATACTTTTACATCTTAAATTTATAAAATAAGCTTTTCAGTGATGCAAGTATCAATTTAACGTGAAATTCAATTTTAATCACTCCATCAAAAAACCAAAAGAATATTTTTTTCAAACATATAATATACACATTTTGTATTTACAAATGCATTAATGCATTTTTAAAACATTAATACTATATTAATAAATTTAGGTAAATAGTATATACGATACATACACAGTACGTATATATATATATTGTTTCATATATTGTATACATTTACCCTTACAATTTATTTTATTTTTTGTATGAAAAGAAAACATTACTTGTTATTTGAGGTTTTAATTGATTTAAGCTAAGTACTAACAAAATATAAAATATAAATTCTTTCTCTTCAATATTATTATGTATCTATCTAATACCAAATTGTAAAAACAGCGTAATAATGTACTAAATGAGATTAACTTTTATAGAAAATAAAATTCTTTGATAACGAATTATTATAAAACAAAACTTTTTTAATTAATTATTCTATATGTTAATTAGGCGCTTAATCATACTTGTAATATTCATACTCGATATTTCTTCTGTTATATTTATTCTTTTAGTTATCGATTTTTTTTTTTCACTTAAGAAATTATTTTTAGAATTAATTTTTTTTTTATGTTAGGATAGAGAGTTTGTGGAGCTCGAAGTGCCATATAATGGTCAATCAAAAAGGCCATGCTCACCGTCTCCCCTACTGAGCCCTAGCCATTCGGCATTAAGCAGGGTGAACTTCTTAAGCTCATGCTGTACAAGATGCTGTAATCAACGGTATCAGGTTTGATAGTTTCTATTTCATTTATATTAGGTAAATCTTTAGTAAAAAGTTCATTTGAATGTCGATAGTCATCATAAAAGTAGAATTGTTTTAATTTTTGATACTAAAGTTCATTTATAAATTACTGAATTAGTTTAAACCAAAGGTTTCCAAACTATGGGTTACATAAAATGTTAGTGTATATATTTTTTAAATATAATAATTAGAATACAGGGTTATTCAAAATGATTCATCTGATTTCAAAAGATTATATGTTTTTAGTTTTTAGATTTAGTGTAAATGTGATAGATTAAATAAAATAATAATATTTCAAATTTATGTAATGGTAACAATAAATATTCTCAGTGGCTTCCTTTGATCACATAAATAACAACTATGTAGTCAGAACTCTAATTCATTCCATACATATCCGTTGTAAATTATTGCTCTAAATTTTAGTTCTTTTTAAGTTTATGATATAGTAATAAATATACAGTATCTTTAACATATTCCCAAAATACGTAGTCGCATGGCGTAAGATCAGGTGACCCAGGAAGCCAGATGCAAAATATCGAATGATGCATTTTGAATAGACCTGTATTATAAAATTCATAATATATAATTGAAAAATATTTAGAAAAAAATAATTTATTTTATGTGAAAAAATCTGTCGCAATATATTTCGGAATTTCGGTATACTTTCGTTGGATTCAATTAATTAATGTTATTTTTCTATAAAGATAATGCTCATATGCGAGTTGGAATTAATATTAAATAATAATATGTTAAATATCAAAAAATCTATGAAAAAAATGGGTGACATTCAATTGCGAACAGACCTTTTCCCGTAACACGATGGCGAACGTTTTTACTTGCATTTAATGGTGTTGCCAGATTTGGTGTTAGTCAATTACAAATTTTTAAAATAATTGAATAGTAGGTATAACAGTTTTCTACTATTACGCTATCAAAACAATTTACATAACTCTATGGCCAAAAAAGATAAATCTAAAATTGAATCAACATTAAAAAATTATAATGATTCTAATTTATAAAATCTACAAGGATCTAATTTTATTTTTACAAAAAACTGAAAATTCCTAAATAAGAAAAAAATGATAAAAAAATGTAGAAACAAATTTTAAAAACTATTATTTTTTTCATTTATTTCAGTTTATACATTATGTAATAATATTATTAATATTTATACTCCGAAATTATTTTAATTTATCAACATTTTAAACACTTCATATTATTTTATTTTAGTTTGTAATGTAATTATTATGTGACATTGTACTATTAATATCGAATATTTTTTATTTAAAAAAAATTTTAATTGAATTCCCAAACAAAATAAAACATATTCAGAAATTATAAAATTGGCAACGTAGCCTATAAAAACGTTCACAATCGTTCGTTTTTCGGCTAAAAAAAACAAATTTTTTGATAAGTGACATTCGTTCGCAATCGTATTATAAAAAAGGTAAAACGTTCGCAATCGTGTTGTACCCAAAAAAATGCAGCCTTCACTTTAAATTAATTAACAGTAAACAATCATTAATATATTTATTTATTTATTTTTATTAAATAAATCATTCTTTTTACAATTTTATTATTAAATATAATATAAATTATCTTTTTGAAAAAAAAAATAAATATTTTTATTTTGATAAATCATATCATGAAAAGTTTGGGAAACTACGGTTTAAATAACAAAGCACAATACACTTGCTATTTAAATTTGATTATGCTGTATTAGAAATTTCTAGTCAATTAAATATAATTATACGAATAGGTTTAATTGTAAACACTATGGAACAATATGTTTATCGTATACTTAATATAAAATACAATACAAATACCAACAGTACACATTATTAATAGTTATTATGAATAGGTAGGTACCCACTTAGTAATAAATTACATGAAATAACGTAGATTTTTATTATGTAATTATAGGTAGTTAAAGCATAATATTGTAATTAGTAGTTTTTTTCTAAATAAATTGAAGTAGTAAAATTTTGTAGATCTGAATAATTATACTTTATTGTACTTCATAAGTTATTTTTAAAAATGCGAATACCTATACTTCTAAAAACTATTTGCATGTTTTAAAATAAATCCTAATACATAACAGCTTATAGAAATTTAAAAAAATATAGTTAGTATTTTTTTTTTTCTTAAACATCACCTATAATAGTTATTATTTATATAGCTGTATCTAACTGTATTAATCAAAACCACCATACTAAAAATGCCTAGAGTCACATTTTAGTAAAATTATTTTATTTTTGTAAGATATTAATAAACAATTTAATTAGAATTGAATTAATGTCTTTAACGTTAAAAAAATTATTTACTTTTTTTTATCTTATTAATCTAACATGTAAAAAAAGAATTTAAAAAAAAATCATAATTTAGACGTTTTAGTTATAATATTATACCGAAAACTATTATTTAATAATAGAAAAAAAATTGTTATTTTAATTTTTTAGAAACAATATAATTTTATTATAATTTAGAATATACTATAAATATGAGGTTTTTAAGCTAATAATTAACTTGTTATAAATAGGTAGATACAGTGATGATTATTATGGCACTACAATAAAAAAATACAAAATCAGGAATAGTGAATAGCGATAGCTGATATTATTTATGAATTTAACTTAATTATGACTTATTTGTTACTGTTATGTAATTATGACAATAAATAAAGAAGTATTTGAAATTAATATTATAACCCTCTTTCATACGATGTAAATGAAGTACGTTTTTTCTACTGTTGATTACTTCATATTATACATTCTAAGAATGTATAAAATATGTTGATTTTATTTTCCATATCATGCTTAGAAATTTACATGTACAACGTGAAACTTCATTATATAGTCTACATACAAATTAATTTATATGAAAAAGGTTATTACTTATAAGTTATAAGTATAACCGCTCTAATTAAAAATGCGTATTGTACCGCAGAAAATTCATTCCGCAAACATTGCATAATTAAAGTAATATTTTTAATACTTAAAAAAAAAAACCAAAGTATTTTGGTTGTAATAATAATTTACACCACTGGTCTACATGTAGATATGATGATAACACGGATTAAAAAGCATCCCGTCGTGCCATGTACGCGGTGACTTTGGGACCTAAAGCGCTATAAAGTTCTAATATTATATAGCTAGCGTATACGTTAAAAAAATGTGGCGAGTATTTTCGACGGTGAAAAAAAAAAAGGGTTACAAACAAAAGCAAGGAGAGGCCCAGTAACACGGACATTATATAAGAATATATGAAACTCGTTCACAAGCGAATAATATATATTATATACGTGTATACCTATGTACGCTATATAAACGTGCGCAGGTGTTGGCGTAATTACGGGTATGCATTAGCAGATCCGCCGAGTTGTATATAATATATTATTATTATTATTATTATTATAAACGTGCGGCGTTCGCCAAAAACTTAACTTTTGACTTGGCAACAATTATTGTCGACAAAAAGTCAACGCGAATCCCACCAAAATGCATTGCTGAAATCGATATATGTATTATAGAACAATAAAATTATACCTATACAGTATAATAAAGTGTTCGCAACGATCGAAAAAAATCGAACTCTCGAATTGCCAGACACAATATATTTTATATTTAAGAACTTTGAATTAAAGTGGTGTATGAATGATTGGCATGGAGATTAAGCCATAACGCTTCTTTTCGTAATAAATTGCTAATAATAAAAACTCGTTCTGAAAATTATAATTCTTTTCTTTTTAATATTTTAATCGATACACTCGAATAGTGTTGAATCGTTCGAAAAAAATAAATACTTATAATACGTTCAAGCGTACATAATACAACACGTATGTTTACAATTCACAATACCTATATGCGTTCCTTAGGCGTAATAATAATAATAATAATAATAATATAGTTGCCTACGTATTGCAATTTCAACGTAGACCTTCGTCAATAACATTGTTTTACGGTCTATAGTGCGAATGCGTAAATGTGTATCCAAGAGGGCAATCCTTTTATCGAACGCTCATTATTTTAAAATCTATCAACGTTTTTGAAAATGTTTTCCTCACATAATTCCCAGTCAAAATAAAACAAAATTTTTTTTTAAATATTTTTTTGAATGAAAACATGCATTTTTAATTTCATACTCCGGGACAGAATATTTTTCTAAGTATTTTGATAGTCAAAAATAAATATAGGCGATCCGAGTAGTAAACCAATATTTCATGAGGTACGCACGTACCACTACACTCCGCTAATTTTAAACTTTAAATATTATTGCTATAACTCACAAACCACTCGTCCGAATTTCGATTTTTACGTGTCGGAATACTCCGAAAAGTATTCAAAATTAAAAATGTTGGTATGTAATCATTCAAAAAAAAAAAAAAAAGTAATAAGCTAATAAATATATATATACACATAACGACATAAAATATTTATTGAAAAAAAAAAATGTCGTTTTACTCGGACTAAAAATCGGGAGAGAAGGGGGTGGCCGGGCGAGACATTTTCAAAAGCGCCAATAGATTTTGAAACGACGTGTGCCGTTCGACAAAATAATCGGCCGGTTCATTATACTATCGACCGTCATCTCGCTAAACCGGAACACGATATTGAATGGCTACCGTTGTGTGCGCGCGTAAACGCGTTTATAAGACCGGACGTCGTCCCCCGGCGACGTCGACAGTTGTTATAAGTTATATTATTATAATAAACACCGTCACGACGACGAGCTCGTGTGAATATCTATCTGTTTGTCCGGTGTAATAATTATTATTCGCATCGTATACACTCTTACCGTTAAAATGCCACTGTAACGGCGTAGACGGTGACGTAGCATTTGAGCGTTTCGCTGTACACGTTTGGTAGATCAATATGTACATTATACATATTATAATTATTATTATATACACATATATCATATACCTAGATGCACGGCTGTAATATAATATTTAGTGTACACGCCATGACACCACCGGACAAAAACGTATGACGTCGGTGGTGTTCTATGACGTACGTAGTGTAATATCATACCTACGCCTACGCATTATTTTAATTATTATAATGACGTGTGGTTATACGCGCAAAAGTCGCGTCTCGGCGCACATCCGCGTTCAAAGGCGCGCGCGAGGCGTTTGTTATGCGTAGATATATTATGATGATGATGATGATATATATATATAATACATATATTTGGTATTTAACACGGTCGGATCGCATATTGATGTTTCAGAAGCACAAGCGAGAGAGTTCGCCGGACTCGATAGGCGAACCCATCAACGAAGAGGAGCTGATCGAGGTGCAGATGAAGCAGCGTCCCGCGTCCGCGGCGCCCGGCGGCGGCAAGTCCAGCAACTCACTGGACTACAACAGCTGCGAAATGCCGTCCGCGTCCGCGGGCCACAAGTCGTCGGCCGCCGGTTCGCCGTCCTCGGCGTCCGCTTCGGCGGCCGCGACCACGGCGGTGGCCGGAAGCAGCGGCGGCGGCGGTGGCGTCGGCGCCGGAGCGGCGGGCGGATCCACTTCCGTGGTGTCCGTGCAGGGCTGCAACAACCCCAACTCGAGCACGTCGTCCGTCGTCGTCAACCTGCCCGCGTCCTATCCAAACTCGGAAATGGACTACGGGTCGGCCTCGTACCCGCCGTCCCCGTCGCTGTCCTCCAACAACGACAAGCCGCAAGTGCGCATCACGTTCCTCTAACCGCCGTCCGACTCCGAACCACGTTGTAATGTTATTATGATATTTTTTTTATTTTTTTTTTTTTGTTACACATTAACCGTTCCGTTTCCGTTTTTGCAGTTGCGCGCGTCGTTTCCCGCGGTTTGTCCGTCGTCGCGCACACTAATGAAATTGTTCCGTCATTGCACTGCGCCGTGTACGGTCGCAGTACATTAATTCACGGCGACGTAATAACAATATTAATATTATGATAATCGTCATTCGTTAAAATCGTTGTCGATGTTGTTTTTATGGTCGTTGTGATCGTTGTTACCGCCATATTATATGTAATATGTGTGTACATACTTACCTGGCTAACCCTTAGTGTATTATTATAGGCGCGTGCGTCCCCCAAGTCATTAGTCCGACCTGCAGTCCCGTCGAGGGTGTACGCGTGTAAACGTCATAAACTGCAATTTTGGTGTACTTATATGATAATAATAATATGTCCTTAAAATATGTACCTCCAACCCCGTCGACTCCACCTCCACCGCCGCGATAATAACTACGTTACTCGTCGTTTTAAGGTATAGACACTGTTCAGAGTGTTCATACGTTTGTACAGGCATGATTGTGGACAAGGCGTCCGATCACATCGTGTGTCCAGCGCGCCGATGGTCGTATACGATTCCGTTTGAAATCCAAAAACAGTATGCCGTATTAAGAGGACGCTATACCCGCGAGACCTGTTGTCGCCGTCGCACAAACATATATGTAATAATTAATAATGTATGACAAGGCGAATTCGGATCGAGTAGAACAGATTTTCTGTTGTTTGCGTCAATGCGTTGGAGTGAATCGAATTAAATTTTCAAACATCAGCTCGAGCACGGAGAACAGTATTCTTGCCTTTGATGTTGATAACAGATCTGTTCGCATTAATATCAAAGCTAGAACAATACACGACTGGAGACAACATATTCGGGTGTGGCGTCCTCGTAACAATTTTCCAAGCACACACAAACGCTCGCGTATTGTACAATACCTACGTTATTACGATGATCTGCAAGACGACGACTATGATGATGATAAGACGCCTTGGCTTATGCGTAGGTATATGATTCGAATTTTAAATATTTTTTTTTTTTTAAAACACGGGCTTTACATTTAATCTGTTTTACTTCCTGTATAATGATCGAAGTATAATAATTTATGCTAATATTACTTTATTAAGAAAAACAAACTTTGTGACACTGTCGCCTTTTTTGTGTACCTAGTGACTAACTACCTGTAGCTACCTACGCTCGTCATAAATTCTATCCAGTCAACATTCAACACCCACACACACACGAACAACGGTTTGTCGCGTAAAGTCGTTCATTCCGCCACCAGACCAAACCCGCTACCCTATTCTCCCTCTCGCCTCTACTCTATTGAGTGTTTTGCCTACTGACTATGCATACCGTCCTTTCTGCGTATATAAACAGTGATTATAATAATAAGGCTTGTGCGCGAACCGAATAATGAACACGTCTAACACGTATGATATATACAATTATTATTTGTACGCAAAGAAATACAGTGTGCCGTGTGGTATCTAGTCGAACTTAGTCCCGGTCACATCAACAGTTTCTATTCGTTCTGCGTACATGCAATTTTAATCGAGCAAAGTCCGAGTGGTGTGTGCACTAATAAAGCGGGGTTTGAAATAATAATGCGTTGAGTAACAGCTGAAACCCGTTGACGGACTACTCCGCGTCATTACATATTTAATCGTTATTAGGGTCTATTCGAAAACATATACCGAACTACTAATTACTAAATTACTACAAACAATCTTTTCATACATTAATCGGGAAAAATCAATGATTTCATTTTCATATTTAAACTAATGACCGAAACGCTAATAGCAATGATTCTTGTTCAAAATTATAAAACAAAAACTATTAAAATGTATTTAAACAACGCACACTCATCATATCTCCAGCTCAATATTTTTCTGCCGTATTATTATTTAATACTGTTATTTAACCTGTAGATAATATAAACTAATCAGTATAGGTACCTACAACGTATCGCAATATCCCATTCCCTTCTCGTAGGATTATTTTGTGAAAAAATGTGAAAACAAAAATTCAATTTAAAAAGTAACAATAACAGAATAGGTTATTGGTTCAAAAAAAAAATTCAAATTTGTTGACTCAAACACATCTTTTCATATTTTTCAGTAACATAACTCAAAGTATTAAAAAACAATTTTATTTCTGTCAGTTTCAGACTCTACGCCTCGACAATGTAATAGCAATATAATATCAGGACGATTTGATTTGTCTTTCCATTCCACCATTAAAATCAGCCTTCGCACTCCTTATTGCGATATAAGTCTTGTAGATAGATGCTCTTACCATAGGTTAAATTCTCATTAACACATCATATATATATATATAATATATATTGAAAAGGTGTGGACATATTTTACTGTTGTTGTGTAACATATAATAGATATATAAGCAAAGGTATAAGATTCACAGATTCGCAATTAAATAAGCATGATGATAAACCAACTAAATCCGCATTATAATAATACCATATGCAACAATGTAAGATGTAAATAATAATAATTTTCTGTTAAGTATAATTTAAAAAGCTAGTTTCTAAGTTACGGTGGGTTATTTCAGAGGCGACCAGCGAATGTTAAATATTATACACCTAATGACGGTACCTAAACGTCTGAGATTAATTTTCAAAGAACCTAAATTTATTAACGATTAAGAATTATCTAGATAATACGTAAACTTTGGAAACTGTTTTTATTAATATGTTACATTTAATCGTAGGTCTATTGTTATGTGGTTCTAAATCGATGTTTTTCAAAAAAGCACATTATTAAAATTAATTAATAGATACTTCTAAAGTTTTTTGTAGCTTATGATTGATTTCTTTAAATTTTAAAAATGTTTTCAACTACAATATATTATTAAATTATATACTAGGTATCTATACTTAAATATATTGAGCCATTGGACAATCAGCTTACGTTTTATTTACTAACTTGCATGTTCGTCTTTTATCAAAAATGAATGTAATTTATAGTAAAATGATTGTTTTTTGCGTAATAGCAAAATTTTGGCGTTATCTAAAATATAACTGATTACTTTTCTAGTTTTTAATTTTTACTGAAGCCTCAACGTGTTGAATATGTAGCGATATATTTTTTTTAAATATTTGTTAACTTTAAAATCATAAAAGGTAGTCTAAATTAAATTAAACTCATAAAATATATTTGTCCAAACGTAATTATATTATATTTTAGAATTGAGTATATAGTCTATATCGTTTTTAATGTGCAGAGAAATTATTTTTAACCGTCAATTTTTTAAATCTATATCGTATATCATTTAAATTTATATGAGCATGCGAGGATTTGCTGATGATCTAACAAAATCTAGAATTAGAGTGTATATAAACTGAAAACGATATGTTCCTTCAATAATAGTGTATCGTAAGAAAATTTATATTTGTTAATAATAGCTACCTGTATATTATTATCAAGTTTTAAAAGTGCTCTTTGGATATACAAAAATCGATTTAGAACCCTTTTTATATTTTTTTTTTTTTTTTACACGATCCACAAAATGTTATCGACTAGAGTGAAAAATTGGGAAAAATTCCAAAACAATGTGGTTTATTGGCACATTGCCCTCGGTATGCATATTTTAATTTACTTTACTTATCCTATGTAACACCTGTTCTCGCCAAGGACTCTGGGCACCAGTTATATAATGTTTCTGTTACATTACTAGGCTGTCCATATTTTGTAAATATATTATGGTTATTATTTTTTTATTACTTTATTTATAAATTAAATTATTACGACCATATGAGAATTTGAACGTCGATTTAATACAAACCATCAATTATCTTTATTATAGATCCTGAGCGGGAGCAAAAAAGCTATTAGTTTTACAATTATGTGGTTTTTTTCAAATACGCTTTCTTTTTTATTAAGGCTCCATAAATTGCATGTGTGTTTATTGAAAGTGAGAAATTCCCAAGAATTTTTTTAGAAAATTGCGAAAGACTGCAAGAGCATCATTCGACCTATTTGTTCTCGATATTATTAAAACATATAATATTTATTATCATAATACTTTAATCATACCTACCGATAGCTGTTCCTATATTATAATATATTCACCAAAATTTTGTAACATATATTTATAATATACCTACATTCAAACCTAATAATAATAATTAATTTTACGATAAGTCTGTACAGTTGTCATATTATTACTATAATAAATAATAGAACCACAGTAAAATATTTACTTCGTAATTATAATATCTTAATTGATAATAGTATAAAACATTTTCGTCGATTATAGAATCAACTAATTACCTACTCAAATTTTGTGATTAAAACAATTGTAATCAAATAATATTAATTAGGTATATCGTATATTAATATGTTTAAAATTCGAGATATAATCGTATATAACATAATAATATAATATTATATGCTATACTTTTTGTATGTATTAGAAATTTTTCCCTGAACACATAGGTCAAAATGATGGTTATTACTTATACTAATATTATTAAATGTCAATATAATACGTCTCAATAATGACAAATTAAAAACACCATGTTTTGATCATATCGAACAGTAATATTAGAGGTATATTTATTTTTAATTAGTGGCTAATTTATTGCTAAAAAAAAATCTACACAAATGTGTAAAAAACCAAAAAAAAAACGACCTATTTTTAAAGAAAATGAAACAGTTTACGTGGGAAAACACTTATTATACGAATTGATATAGAATAACACAATCATAATATTATTAGAATAAATAACGACGCTACGTAACAATTGAATTGGATCCCAAACTATAAACGACCTTTTTAAACATCTATAATTGTGCCGAAGCATGTGTGTAGTAGATTAAAATAAGCGTTTAAATGAAAATATTCTAAATCTTTCTTTTTTTTTAAATTATTATTATTGATATTGAACGTAACGTCTGTCTGTCCATATCTACGAGTTTGTTGTACGATATATTTGAGTCTTCTAGACCTTTAAAGGGTCTTTATTATATATTATATATTATTATATTATATGAAATTAAATTAAACCTCAAAATAAGTATAATACTATTCATAACAAACATTTTATATCATATATATCATAATAATTGTCATCGTTCTTGTTTAAAATCGTTAGTCTTTTCTTATTAGTATTTTTTATTACTTGCGCTAATTCTCGGATAGATAAAAAAATATATATTAATATGAATAATACATAAAATGAATGTATTATAGATAGATACTATTTAGCCATAGATCACCTGGATCATTAAACAGTTTAAACGTGTAACAGCCAACAGGTGTGTTTCCATTGTCTTATTGGACATCGATTGTTCAATTGAACATCTTTTAAGTAAAATTTGTTAATCTTTTTTAGATTTATATTAATAAAAATAATGGATCTTGAATAATTATTATTATATGCCTATAACATTTGAAAACAGTTAAATAAGAGAACAATTTAATTTTTAACAGTGCATTAATTATTATAATTATTATTGTTAACAGATAATATTGATGCATTTATGTTTTAAACAATATTAGAAAGACGAACAAATTTATTAATGTTACAATTAATTATATTTATTATTATTATTATTATTATTATTATTACTACTACTATAATATTGTATCAGGGTGTTTTGAGATATCCTGGCCAAATTATTTAACAACATCGGTTTTAAAAGCATATATCCTTTTATGGATTTTTATTTGTTATCAAATACCTATCAAATAAAACGTGTTTTTATCACTCGATCCAATTCAGTGTATTATATACTACCTACATTTTTTCGTAAATAAAACCATTTATTTTTATTTTTATTTATATATGATATGTGTGTGTGTATATAATATATACCTATACTGCTATAGTATATCTAAATTATATGTGCAATTTAAGTTTAAAATACCAGTAAGTTACTTTTCTACGTTAATGTTTGCTTAGCTTCATGCATTACCCCTTTATAACAGTTTTTAAACCTTACATTCTTATACTCTATGATTTAAATAGATATCTATGGAATATTTTTTTAAATCTAATAATTTCTAAATGAATTAAATTGTCTTCGTGTATAATTTGGCCAGGATCGTCTGAAACATTTGTCAGCTTGGCCCGAAAAGTTTTGAGCGTCATTAAAAATCTAATCAAATAACTGTTAATAAAACTGTTTAACATTGTTTTATATCATTATATTCAATTTATATAATTTGATCAAACGTGCTGCATATTATTATTTTTAATGATTGGTTAATTGATCAAATTATGTGACATACATTTGTCAGTCATCTTTTCGGACCATTCTGATTATTTTTCATCAATATAGTCGTTTGTATTACATTCAATTTGTTTAAGCATGGTAAAAAACTAAATGGAAAAAAAAAAAATGTTTTTTTTATAAATAAGCAAATTACAAATTGTTTATAAAATATATTATACAACAGCTAAATGGTATAGATTGTTTTTAAAAATGCGAATTTAGAAGTGGTTATTTCGTTTTAATAAAAAAAATTCCTGAAAACGTTGTTATATTCTATTTTGTACTTACCTCTGCATGTTTCTTTTCAAGTAAAAATTCTTGAAAATTATTTTATTGGATCGTTTCAGATAAAATGGTTTAAAACCGCGTGATATCATAACATAGTGTAAGATATTATCGTTGGAAAACCTGTCGATCCAATTTATAAAGTATACTACAATCTCACGTACTCTGTGTTTTATTGGATATAAGCACAGCTTATTGTTTGATGAAGTAAGTATGGATAATCACAACCTTTTTTGATTGAAGTAAGTATGGATAACCACAACCTTTATTAGTTTTTATGCAATGTGTTTAAAATTGGCTAACAACTAGGTCGACAAGAAAATTATTAATGTTTAGTTACATTTGTATCTTATACTCGATTCTAATTATGCATATATTATACAATATTACATACTCGTATATATATATAATATATATTATATACGAGTATCGAACATTATGCGTCTACGTACAATGCTTGACTCGACAATAAAATGTCCAATATATTGAAAGAGTTAAAAATACTAACAGCCCCGGAAACGAAATTAAACATTGTGGTACCACGATTATTGCTAGAAGGACTTTGATACAAAATTAATCAGTTTTCTGTAATATGTTAACCATGCGGCACGTGGTTATATATGAACCGTTTATTTTCGTTTTTCAGTTTTGTTTTTTTTCCTATTTCTCTTGTGCTAAGGAATTCCGAAAATGTGAAGAGCGTTGTTCATAGTTTTCAGAGACATTTTAAAATAATATTGCTCCGAACAAAATAAAAACAAATGAAGTTGACTTCCTGCGCACGCATTATTGACCACTGCAATGTTAAATGTTTCAAGACCCTAGGAATATTTATTCCAGCCATCATATTAAATTTTAAACCAACTATGTGTGTGTGAGTGTGTGTGTGTGTGTGTGTGTGTGTGTGTGTGTGTGTGTGTGTGTGTGTGTGTGTGTGAGAGAAAGAGTTATATCACATTCAAAATTAGTTTTGAGTGATCCCGTTTACTATAGTTATTATTTTATTAAAATATGTTACAAATATAATGAATTATTAATAAAAATAATATTTCATTCTTATAATTAATCAAGTAAAAATTAATGTTATTTTTTTATTACAATTATTTTAAATAGTACCTAGATTATTAACATAATTTTTAATTTGTTTATATTTATAAGTTTTATGAAGGGTTTCTCGTGACCTTCACTGTTTCGCAGTTTTTTATAAATATATTTCAATTTCCTGGAACATTTGAAAATTGAAAAAAAATATCTTTATAAAATATTATATTTAACCAATTTGGTACTGACAAGTGATGATTGATGAGGCTTTATTAAACAATTTTTTGTGTACTTCATTTCTATCCCA